AAAATAATAAGTTCCATAAAAGAGGCATATGCTTGAAATAGTGAAGAGGAGAATTTATTTACCTGGGGAGCCAGCGAAGGCTTCACAAAAGAGGTACCTTTTAGAGGATCAAAGACGTGTAAGCAAGGGCTCCAGTGGAAAGTAAATGTTTTGAGAATGATGAGGGCAACAAATGTACAAATGTGCTTGACACAATGGATGTATATATGGATTGTGATATGAGTAGTACGAGCCTGCAATAAAATGATTTAAATTAAAAAATTTTTTTAAAGAAGTGTAAGTAAGAAGCACTCGGATGAACAGAGAAACCTTTCAAGAAAAGCAAACAGCAAATGCCAGGGGAAGAGCATGACTCGGCCACAGCTTATGGGCGGACTGTGAAGGATGCGGGATGGAGACGGGCAATGGCCAGGAAAGACTGTTGAGAGATGAGACCAGAAAGACAGCCGGGATACATCTTCAATAGTTTGTAGCTCGGTTCAGAAGAAGAGTAATTACTACGTCTCAAGCTCTAAGTGTGATATGGTTGATATTTCACACACACACATACACAAACACACCCACACATATAGTATCGCCATTTAGTTAGTTAGTTACTCTTCAAAGTAGACTTGTCCAACAATTTTAGGACAAGAAAATTAAGGTCCAGAAAAATTTGGAAACTTGTCACAAACCTCATCATGAGCAATGGTAGAGCTGAGACTGCTTACTCCCTTGTGTCACACTAATGCCATGACACAGTGGTTTGGGCTCTGTCCCAAGTACTGTTGAGAACCATGAAGGGGTTTTAACCTTGGGGGTAATAGGAAGTACAGTCATGATAACAGAATCAAGACTGAATTAGGGAGAAGAGTTTAGGATGTAGATGGGAATACTGGTTAAACGGGTAGCGCAGGAAAATCAGGTAAGAGTTGATGAGGTCCTGAATTAGTGGAATGGCAGGTAAGCACGGCAAAGTAGCCGAGGGTAAATTGAAGATTTACTCAAGGGAGTGCTTTCAATAGTAGACCAAACCATCTAAACCAGATGAGAAAAGAAATGAAGTTATTTAAGGATGCTGGCCATGGCCTTGCAGTTCGTCCTGACTCAGAGAGGCCTAGGTAGGCTTTCCAAGCCCAAATCCTTGCAGGAGCAGACAACTTCCTCACCCCTTCTCTCTATGTTTGATGACTAGTTTTAACTATGGCCTTGAAGTCGGACAGCTTAAAGACTGGAGAGAAGCATTAAGAAGAGTGTCAAGGGATGGGTCCCAGGCATACTGTTCATTGCCTGGCAAGACTACCACATCTTTACCACTGCGGTGTCAACACCACTTGTGTGGTCAGAACCCATTCCTGGGCTAAAGGGGAACATCCCCTAGTCGGACTCTGTCCCTTTAACAGACATTGAGCCCTCCGAACAAGACCCTGTCACCTCGGCCTCTTTGTAGACTCCTTGTCTTGGTGTTCTCATCACAGCTTGGCTGACCCTGAGGGCTGCCATCTTTCCCGAAAAACTCACATTCCTAGATGTGGGCTCGAGGTGGATCCTCCATGCTCTTTATTATGAGTAATATCCTGACCGCTGTTCCTCCTTCAGCACCTGTACCCCATTGGCAGGATGTTTCATCCGAACTCTACTATCCACTACCCTTTCTCAGTAAAAAGTTTTCTTATTAATCTCATTCATTGAGGATTTTTAGTATTAACCTTACTTTCTTGCCACCGCTGTCTGTACCAGTCAGATTGACCTTGCATCTGATATTATGACCTTGCATAGATAATCCTTCAACAGCTGGCTTTTGAGTTCCCAGACCCCCTCATCTCACTGGTGTTCCAGCCCTATCCAAGACATCCCTGCCCCAGAACCTGATATTGATGGTAATTACCACCCTTCCATAATCTCGATTGTAGCATAATACTCTCCCATTTCTCTAGCCCCTTACCTCCAAGAAGTCATCAAACATATTTGGCCTTTTAATCCTTTGACTTGATCAACTTTTCCCATTCTATAAACCCTTAATGTCCTGACTGCCCTCAGTGCCAAACTTAGATTCATGTGGTTGTCACTGTAATCACTCCCCTTCATGGATTCTCAATTCCTCTGTCTCTTTCTTCGTCCTCTGCATGTTCACACACACACACACACACACACACACACACACACACACACACTTTAGTTAAACCGAATTCTACATCTATTCCATGAATGCCTGTACAGGAATTGCTAAATGTAGCTGATAAGACTTGTAACTATACTGATTAGTTTCATGTTATAATTATGACCACAAGTCTCAAGTGAGCCCGTAGTGCTGCCCAGCAATCCACTACATTCAGCTAGTCAATTGACATCCTTTCTCCAAGATCATTTCCTTCATTCCTTTCTCTCTTCAGCAGTCCCTTCTCCATCCTTACATTTAAGGTCTCTGCTTATTTCATCAAGGAACGAGAATCAATCAGAAGATAATAGGATCCTTCAGAAGAGAAGATCCTCATCTCCCACACCACTGCATCTACCATCCCACCTGCATTTGTCCTTGCATAATCCATAGTGCACCTTATTATAAGGAAAAATATGCATGTTCCTATATATGACCAATCCTTCTATTCATGCAGAGTATCAACCCCTCTCACTTACTCCGTGAATTTTCTCTGCAAGGATCTTCTGTTTCTCCTTCATCATCAGTTTGAAACGGAAATCAAACTTTCCGATGGAATCATTGCAACTGCTATACAATATGCGGACATATCTATCATCTTAAAAACAAAACCACACCGCCCTGACCCCTTATAACTCTTAAGCCACCACCTATTTTCCTATGTCTTTACAACGGAACCCTTAGAGAGGGGTTTCTGTCTCTGATGCCTGACTATGCTTTCTCCCTTGAATATTCTATACTCTCCATGCCACTCTCATCCAGGTTGCCAGTGATTGTTTTGTTGTCAAATCCAAGGTCAATTCTGAATCTTCACCTTATTGGCCTCTTAACAGCTTTAACACAGCTGTTGACTTTCTCTGGGGAACCATTTCTTCGGCTGGTTGTGATGACTCCATTTAACCTGGTTTTCATCACCCTTCTCTGTTCTGTCTCATCCTTTTTTGTCTCATCCTTCTTAATGTCTGAATATTGGGGTGCCTCATACCTCCACCTTAGGGCTGCTTTTCTAACTACACATATTCTCTTGGAGTTAAGTTCTTCATGCACCCTAGTTATAGACACCACCGACATATGTGTTTACTTGGATGCCAAATTTATGTTCCCAAATCATGACCTTTCTCTTGAAGCCCTGGCATTATATCCAACTGCCTGCAGGGAGACATCTCTATCTGGATGCCTATTTTACATGTCAAGTTCAATGTGCACAAACAAATTCTTGATTTATTTGCTTCAAATCTATGATTCCTCTCAGTAAGTGAAATCATGGTTTCTCTGGCCAAAAAAAAAAATCTTGTATTTATTTGTGTTTTCTTTCTTCCAATCTTTTAGGTTAAACTTTAAGTTCTACCGTCTAGTTATATTTTGAACATTCTAATTTCTCCCCACCTGTGTGCCACTTCCTTTGCCCAACCCACTATGATTTCTCACTTTAACCACTGGTATTGTTCTAGAAGATCCTCTTCTTCTGCCCTCCTCCTTACTTAGGAAGACCCTTCTTGATCTAGCTCCTACAACCTCTGCAACACCACCTCCCATTTAACTCCCCACTGCCCGTTCACTCCATTTCAGCACTGCCTTCCTTGGGGTTCCTGTAGCATATCAGACACATGCCAACCTCAGGGCGTCAGAAATGGCTGTTTTCTCTGCAAACATGCAGTCCTTCAAGATGTCCATGGGTCCACTCCCTCCCTTCATTCAGCCTCTCAGACAAGCCCCCTCCAACATACACTGTTCTGTCACTCTATCCCCTACCTGCCTTTATCTTTTCATACCTTTAATCACCATCTGATATTACACATTGATCTAATGATGTCTCTGCGCTGACGTGGAAGCTTCATGAGGGCAGGGAGATTTTGTTTTGTCTTGTTCACTCTTGTATTTCCTCAAACCAGAATCGTGTCTGCCACATAGGCGCTCAATAAATATCAATTGGTGGGATAAATAAATGGGAAAATCATGCTCACTTTCAGATGGGATAAAAGACAAGGCTCACTTCTACTCTCCAGCCCAGCCATGTACTCAGAGTAAAGGTATAACCAGCATTCCTAAGCTTTGTGTTGTCACTCATTTTCTCTCCCCTAACATGCACGTTCCTAGAAAGTGTCTTGATGTAATAGAGTAGCTGTAGGGGTGGGGGGTCATAATTATTATAAGTGCACGACTTACATACACACAATCCCATGACTCCCCTGCTTAAAACTCTCCAACGATTTCCATCCCACTTTTAATTATATAAGCACTGCCTACCACAAGCATGGAATCTAGCCCCAGACTACTTCTCAACCTCCTGTCCTGCAAGTGGCGCAACATTCTTCTCGGTGTCCCGCCAGGACGCCCAGCTGGTTCTCTTCTCAGGACCTCGTAGGTACTGTTTCTTCTCGCAGATCTACACACAGAACGCTTTCTCCTGATCAAGAGAGCTCCTATTAGCTGTTCCCTCCTTTCTCCCCAGGAAATCAGTCTTCTTTCTATCGTTATTTGAAATGTCTTTGATTTAAAAGAAAAGCTTATTCTCCTCACCTCCCTCTAGACTAGAACTTGTCTGAGAGCAGGGAGTGCTCTTGTCTGTCTTTTCCACTCCAGTCGCCCAGCGGGAGCCAGAGTAGACGCTACTTGAGTAGAGTGGCACGTGCATGAGTAGATGCAGGTGGTACATGACTGTGTGCTGTAGAATGGGGAAACCAGACCACATGGAAGGGTCGATTGTACCTTCCATCAGGTGTCCTTCGCTTTTAGTTCAGGCAGGCCAGGCTGACGTAGAGGCAGCGAAGGCTGTGGGCGACCTGCCCCCCCGCCCACCAGAGAGAACCTCTGGGATTCCCCCGCCCCACATCTGCCCTGCTCGTCCCTCTCAGGTCCTTACCTTGATGGCCCCGGTGGCTATCTGGATATGATGCAGCCGTCGCAGTGTGCTCTCTCTGTCGATGAAGTAGGAGGCTGCCAACTGGTGCAGGGTCTCCAGGGACACAGCAGAGCTGTTCCCGCTGCCCACGGCCACAGGGACACCTCCTCCCGTCTCTGTCTTCCGACTCAGCTTCCTCTTGTCCACAAATATTGTCAGGGATTCTTCTCCTAGAGAAAACAACATACGTTCATTGACGTGGTCTTCTGCTCACTAGTCCCATATGCATAGGAACACGAAACCCTTGGTTAGAATAATCAGAACTAAGAGGGAGCCGACTGCCCCTGCTGTCACCCCCTTTCCCCACAGGGGAACTGGCTTCGGCTTCATTGCCTGACAGACTTCCTTTCTTACCCATAGTGCTTTAAGTCTCCTAAAGCTCAACCCACCCCACTGACTGCCCCTGTTGATCTCGATGTCTGGCAATGTCCCTCCTTGGGGAAGACAGACTTCTCCCTCTCAAGTTGTTTATGATCAGTCCCTCGGCATATTTCTGCTCCCGCAGAAAGGAAAAACAACTTGAAGCTCAGCTTCCTCCTCCCCATCAAATACTCAGCCCCTACCACATGCAGGGAACTCGCCCAAACCTTTCAGGAGCTTCTTGTTATCCACCAGACAGCAAACTAAATCTTACAGAAAAGTCTACCTTCATCTAACTTCTGATTCTGCCCTGGTTCCTAACCTCCTGTTGCACCATCCCCACCCCTACCCCACCCCCATCAAGCCTAGAGTTTTGAACACATTAGAAGTGGTTTGACTGATTACCAATCCTTATAGAGAGGAAGCAGGGGTCAGGAGCTCCACAGCATCTGCTTTTAAAAGATGTTTGTCTATGAATTTGACAACTGTAGTCAGCAAATATTAGGCTAGGGCGAAGCCTCAGGGTTAGATAGTTCAGTCAAAGGAAAACTGGGAGCGCCCCCTGCTGGCACATGCTTGGTAAACACATGTTGATCCCCAACCTCCTCAAATCCTGCCCTTCCTCAGCAGGTGGCTTGTAAGTAAGTCTCCAGGCTTTGGGGTGAATTTGGAAGTCAAGAACTGAACTTGTCCAAAACAAACAAAACCCTCACTGCCATCTAGTTGATTCTGACCCAAGTGACCCTACAGGACAGAGTAGAACTGCCCCTGTGGGTTTCTGAGACTGTACGTCCTGACGGGAGGAGAAAGCCTCCTCTTTTCTTCAGTGGAGTGTCTGGGCTTTCGAAGGGCTGGCCTTGCGGTCAGCAGCCCAGCAAGTCATCCACTATGGCCCTAGGGCTTCTGAACGGTTCTCCGCGACAAACCAGAAAGCAAGCCATCTCTCTTGCAATAATAGACCTAGAAGAGCAATATGGTCGGGTCTACAGTCGATGGGTCTTAAAACGATGTCTAATGACGGGGGACAGATAAGTGTGGGACCATGGTGTTCCTTACCTCCAAGGGTGGCGGAAAGCAAGAAATGAGTGCCGTACTTTTTGATGAGGTTTTCCGTCAGCTGTTGTAGGTTAGGTCTACGGCCCAGGAGGCGGATGTTCCGGATAAACTCCGGGGCGAGAGGCAACGGCAAACTGAAAAAGTCCTTCCTTTCCAGAGCCAGGCTGTTTACTTTCCACCGGGCAAACTCCCTAGGGACAGACACCGAGGTAAGGGAAAGGGCGGTGTATTTCTGAAAACGAGGCCTACAGTGTGAAGTAGATACTGCTCTTCCTCAACTTGTCGCCCCACTTGTCCCCTCAGACCCTCCATCCTCTTCGCCTCTCGCCTTCCGAGAGGCTCTTATTCCCAGGCTGCAAGGTAGCCCGTTGTTAGCTGTCCTTCGTCAGAGCCGACTCCCACTCAGCGTTTTCATCAGAGAATATCTGATTATTCATATGGAGGTGCTTTAAAAAGCAAACCAAATTCCATTGTATCAATTCTGCAGCATAGAAACCCAAAAGGACCACGTGGGACTGCCCTACAGTGTTGCCAAGGCTGGCAACACTATATGAGACCAAATGGTAAACATTCACACCAAACAAAGATGAAAAAGTGGAGGGGTTGAAGGGGTAGGGAAGCTAGATTTACAGAAATAGAACAACCAAAATTGAAACAATGAGAATATTGACACAATATCAAAAAATGTAACCAATACTATTGAACAATATGTTGAGAACTTATTAAATGGGAGCCTAATTTGCTTTGTAAATTACCAAAAGACACTATAAAATATTTTAAATTGAAAAAAATAATATGCCGTTATCTTGAAGTCCACTAAATTTGTTTTTCACCACAATAATCTTATAAAAGTGTTATTGTTATACCTATTTTATTGATAAGAAATGACAGTGAGAGAGGTGAAATAATTTGCAAAAAGTCACACAGTTAAAGGCAGCTTGCCATTTAAAGCTAGACATTCTCATTCTAGGGTTTGAACCATTTACCTTTCTGTTAACAGCCAGGCAAGTACCACTGCACTACCAGGGTCTCCAGTCATATTTAGCAGTGTAGAAGAACAAACGGAATAATAGTTTGCAGAGATGGGGGTCTAGTCGCAATTGGAACCTTACGGAAGTGATCAATCACCTACCCTGTCCTGAGTTTACCCATCTGTAAAGTCAGAAGTTTGGTCTCAAGAAACAGCTTTTAAAGTTTTAGGTGTCAGGGTCCCTTCCTGTCTTGAAAATGATTGAGTCCCCCATATTAGTCCATGGGTATATAGCTAGTGGGATTTACCATTTCAGAAATTAGGGCTGAGACATTTTAAATTTATTTATGTATTATGTCATTTAAAGACAACGATAAGCCCATGGGATGAACATAAATAACATTTTATGAAAAACACATGTTTGCAAGCAAAGCCAATTTAGCATTGCTTTGCATTTTTGCAAATCTCTTTAATATCTGGCTTAGTAGAAGACAGCTGTAGTCTCATATTTGCCTGTGTAGTTAATGCTTGCGAGAGGTTGTTTTGGTCAAAGCATAAGAAGAAAGTGTGGCCTCACAGAGATAATTCAGTTGAAAAGGAAAGGGGTATCTTAGTAGCCTTTTCCGTGAAGTGTGGGTGTTTTCTTTGGTACAATGTGACATTCCACAAATGAGAGTTTCTTAAAGAAGAATCTGACACTACAGCAGTAAAACTTTCATGCACTGGTATTGCAAAGATTCTGTTGGGCTACATTGAACTAAGCATGGATCTTTTTACCTTGCTTAGTTTGGTAACATCACACTTTGGTCATATGGGAAACAGGGTCAATGAGTTACACAGATACACCACATTTTGATACCTCACCATATAATATCACAAGTCACATTTGTGAGTACAACCATGAACCTTATCAGAAAGAAAAGTTTCAAATACTTGGAAGTCAAGTGCACAACAGAAAATACAAGCACTTCAAATTTTAATTTTTTGGAAAGCTTAAATATTATCATTGGCAATAAAAACAGGTCTACCTCTTACTTCTTTTTCAGAAAATGTCTGCCAAACACTCAAGTCTGAATAATCAAAGTGTGCATGTTTGTTTCAAGAAAACATAGTGTTCACTGAAAACAAGCAAACAAACTAGCGAGGTCAGTTCCTAAATAAAACATTCACAGTGTGTTTTCATAAGACAACCATTGTGCTTTGGCATGAGACAAAAGTGTTTTTTGTGTATTAGCATACATAATTCTAAAAAATTCGAGGGTCAGGATTTAATAAGATTTAATTTTACTGCTCTACTGGCATTCTCCTTAAAAAACAGTTTTATTGGCACATAATGCAAATATCATACAATTTGAGTCAATAGTTCAATCATATCAAGAAGAATTGTACAAACATTACTAATGGCATTCTTAAGTATAGCTGGCATATGGGTCATTGTGAGTCAGATTAACAAAATGGTTATATGTGTGTGTGTGTGTGTGTGTGTGTGCACGTGTCTGTGCAAAACAACATATAAAATATATCTAAGAGCAACAGGAAAAAAACTAGTAAACTAGTGTAGCAGAATGTACAAAAATATTTTTCAGGGAGAGGGTACGATCAAATAAATGTAGACAGCATGGATTATTTGCATAAAAATAAATGTATATACATATGTAAAATACAAACATATACACAAGCACACACACGTATATGTTGTTGTTGTTCGGTGCCAACCAGGTGCCAACAATCCATCATGACCCTGTGTACAATAGAATGAAGCTCTCCCCAGTCCTGAGTGAGCCTCACAATCATTGCTGTGTTTGAGCCTCCGGCCATCTCATTGAGGCTCTTTCTCTTGCTCTACAAGCGTGATGTCCTGTTTGGGCAAGGGTCCCTCCTGAGAACATCGCCCAGATAGGTGACATGAAGCCTTGCCATCTTCTAAGGGGCTCTCTGGCTACACCTCTCAGACACACTTTTTTCATTCTTCTGGCAATCCAGAGTACATTCCATATTCTTGGGCAACATCGCAAATCAAAGTGTCAATTCTTCCTTAGCCTTCCTTACAGCGCCATTTTCTACATGCATGTGTGTACGTTATATATTGTGTATATATCACATATGTGTACATGCTATATGTGTAACATGTATATGTGTAAGCATATACAGATTTTTCGAAAGTGCAAGTTTTCCATTGTCTCCCAGATTTTACTGTTAAGGATCACCTCTTCAGTCTCAGCAAAATCAAAAATCCCACTGCCTTCCAGTCGATTCTGACTTGTGGTGACCCTGTAGAACATTGAAGAGCTACTCCCTAGGGTCTCAGAACGTGTAAATCTTTCCAGAGCAGCAGAGAGCTGAGGAATGACTGGGAGATTCCAACTGCTGATTTTTGGTTCATATCCACCTGTGTAAGCCACAAAATAGAGTCTTCACGACCCATTCCCCTGCCCCAACTCTGCTCCTGTGGGCAGTGCTAAGCCTCGGTCAAACTTCAGAGTCCATGGAATGTCAATTACAGAACTGCAGAGAAATAAATAAATAAGGGAAAATGTATGTGCAACTGGAGGCTGTAGAATCCCTCCACTGGAGAGTGGAGAGAAAGGACATTCGCCAGACATTACTAAAGAAACAAAGCAAAATGAGTGGATAATAATGCATGGTTCCCGTGAAGTCTTAAAAAATGCCCACTCTGTGGCTTTATTTATCTAAGCAGATTCATAATAATACATTATTAGATATTTCCTTTGTGCAGGGAATGCTAAACTTTAATTAAAGCATGGGGTATTTATCAAAAACGTTTTCTGTCCCAAATCTCCTGGAAGAATTAAAAAAACAATTGCTGGATCTCAGTTCCAACTGGCTGGATGGGAAATAGATTCCCCTCATTGGCTAACTGATCATTGCATTGGTGAGAATCATAAAATCTGATTAACAAAAAGAAACCAGGGTCATCAAACCCAGCCTTCCTCCTTTGGGGTAGGCTATGTTTAGATGTTAACTAATAAAGAATGTCTATCTTAATATTTAGATTGCTAGGAAATAAACAATAAAGCAGTCTTCAATTTCCCACTATTTCACACATGATCAAAGGTCCTTGTTATAAGGAAAGTTTACCTTAGCATAGAAGTGGGTCTTACTTTAATGAAACACAATAAGCAAACATTGAGAGTCATGCTCAACACTTCGCCAACCTTCTTAGAGAAATGGCCTCTGACAGTCCTGTCTGAGAGAGCACCCTGTCCCCCGGCTCTGTTCGCCTGGTCATCTTTTAGTCAGTTAGTCACTTCTCCCGCGCATTATCTTTCTTTTCCACAGGAATATGCATTTGGATAACTGGGATTTTCCTTTCTTTCTTTATTTTCCTTTTTTTTCTTTTCTTGTCTCTTTCTGTCTTACCCAGATTGATATCCCCAGCATGTGGACACAGATTAGATATTCACTATATCTTCGTTAAGCGAGTCATTCTCCAACTCACTTACTCTATGCCTTAGCTCTTCTAACCTTTGTTGTTCGCAAATTATCAACATCTTGATTTTAGAAAAAAGAAAGTTGCAGGGATAGAATAAAGAGATGCTACAATCAGTTAGCAAATGAACCGGAAGGAAGGTGGAACATTTCTGAATATGTATACTATAGCACAAGGAAAATTTGGCTATATTTATAAAAATGTCATTGATGGTCACTGTTTTGTGCATGAAGTTTGCTTATATAAATCAAGGCACTTCTGGCATATTCTGTTGCATTATTAAAGCAAGTCTGGTCATCTTATATTGTCTTCAGTGAACAACTTTCAAGGACACCATACTTTGCTTTAACCACACTCCAAAGCTCCGTGACTAAAGGACCGGCATCCAGACTGTTCTGTGTGTTATATACAAATGTTAATAATCAGCAACTCCATCCCTCTACACCGGGTCTGATACGAGCCTGCCACACGCATCACATTTCACACTTGAAAATCTCCCAAAGCAACGGCAAGTCTGGAGCTTTGCACTTTGAATGGCTCTTCATTATCTCGTGTTCAGAATCAGTCTTAAAAAAGCATATGCTTCATTCAAACCAATAAATACGCTCAAATGAGGAAATAAAAGCTTAGAGAAGTAAGTAATTTACCTGGGTAAGTAAGTAAAATCACACAACTACCAAGAGGGAAAGTGGGGCTGTTAGAACTGAAAGAAACATTCAAGTGGTCCTTGCCAATCTCTTTCATATTGCAGTGTGCATTGAAAATCCTGT